TTATCCTGGCGGCTAGCAGCTGCTCAAGAAAACGCTCCCTCGATTCCACTCGCATTACACATAAGAAAAGACGTGAACGTACGTAAGAAGTACATAATTTCTCGTGTATACGTGAACGTGAGCATGTGTGTGAATATGTGTATATGTGAATAGACGTGAGAATGATACGTAAGCAAAAGATGTCCGTGCGAGGTCCCCAAATGTACACAGAGCCGAAGATGCCCTTTGAACCCCATCCCCTTCCTGCACTGAAATCCCACGGGGCTTCCCTCCCTCAGGAGAACATTTGTTATCTGCGTATCATTTGATTCGTTCACTTCCCCCCCTGTTTCTGTGCCTTTAAAACACACACATGTACACACGTGTGTTTTTTAAAAGTTTATTTATTTTGAGAGAGAGAGCACGCACAAGCAGGGAAGGAGCAGAGAGAGAGAGAGAGAGAGAGAGAGAGAGAGAGAGAGAGAATCCCAAGCAAGTGCGACACTGTCCGTGCACAGCCCAATGCAGGGCTCGAACTCACGAACTGTGAGATCACAACCTAAGCCAAAATCAAGAATTGGACGCTCAACCAACTGAGCCACCCAGGCGCCCCCACACGTGTATGTTTTTAATTAACGTGATACTGTAATGTCCCTATTAGCCCCCAATAAGCTTTCTTTTTGCTTCACGATACGTATTCAAGATCGATGATGGTTTTCCATGCAAGTATATCTCCATTCTTTTAAATGCTATGCAACATTCCATAGTATGATGTGTGATTTATTCAGTTTCTCTACTGACAGTTGCTGCTTTTTTTTCCAACTTTCTCGGCAGCGTAAATGATACTGTAATGAGCACCCTGTGTTTGTTTTTGGCACAATTAAGAATACATCTTTCAAAAAGTAGCATGTGCTTAAGTGTAGACGGTGGGGCCAGACTGCCCGGGCTCAAAGCCTTCCCTTCTCCAGTTGTTGTTTGATTCAAGAAATGTCCCTTGGCCCCTCTGTGAGTTCGTTCCCTCATCTATACAATGAGGGTAATAATAGTAACCTTTATTGTAGGCTGTTAAAAGCATGGAAGGTAATAACTTACATAAAGTGCTTACAACTACATCTGGCTTCTAGCACTTCATGGAAGTTAACTGTTGGGGCGCCTGGGTGGCTCAGTTGGTTAAGCGACTAACTCTTGATTTGGGTTCAGGTCAGGATCTCACTGTTCATGGGATCGAGCCCCATGTTGGGCTTTGTGCTGACAGTGCAGAGCCTGCTTGGGATTCTCTTTCCTGGTCCCTTCCCTTGCTAGCTTGCTCATTCTCCCTCTCTCTCTCTCTCTCTCTCTCTCTCTCTGTCTCGAAATAAATAAACAAACATTTAAAAAAAAAAAGATAACTGTTGTTAGCATCCGGGACAGAACCTAGAAATAGAAGTCAGGATCCAGGGGATACGTGTTGTTAAAAATTTAAGAAACCCTGGCAAATTGTCCTCCAGAAGGCAGAAAGCATGCCCTCTCTTACAGTATGTTACTATTGTTGAATATCTACTTTTATCACTGTTCGTTTTGGGCAGTCTCATAGATTGGGTGTGGACTCTCCTTTTTTTAATTTGTACTTTGTCGGGGTGCCTGGGTGGCTCAGTCGGTTGAGCGTCCGACTTCGGCTCAGGTCATGATATCGCAGCTCGCGAGTTCAAGCCCCGCCTCGGGCTCTGGGCTGACAGCTCGGAGCCTGGAGCCTGTTTCGGGTTCTGTGTCTCCCTCTCTCTCTGCCCCTAACCCACTGGCCTTCTGTCTCTGTCTCTCTCAAAAATAAATAAACATTAAAAAAAGTTAATTTGTACTTTGTGGATTGTCATGGTAATGAACGTGGGTTTCGTCCAGTTTTCATTTGAGTTTCTTCTCTCTGTTTGTAATTCTTTGTAACTTTCAGCATTAATGGTTGTTTATTACAGGTTGCAAGTATTTTTCTCTCAGTCTGTTATGTCTTATTTCTATGGCCGCTTTTATCCTTTAGAGGTTTTGCATTTCCTTACAGGCAAATATATTTGTGTTTTCTTTATAGTTTATTTATTTTTTTACTTATTTATTTAATTTATTTATTTAAAATGTTTATTTATTTTTGCGAGTGAGAGAGCACGAGTGAGTGGGGGCGGGGCAGAGAGAGAGAGAGAGAGAGAGAGAGAGAGAGAGAGAG